GGGTTGGATGTCATGCAGCTGGCCTCTGGATCCAGCGCAGGCAGGTTCCCATAACCGCGTCCCTGTCAAGCCTGTTTCGGCTGGCATGAACGATCCAACATGCTGGATGCCCACGCCGCGGCCAAAACACAAGGCTAGGTCACCGTTTCCGGTCGGAGGTGGCGAACCAACTCCTCACAGGCACCCTGACAGGCCCATCGACCCCCCCCCACCTATCCAGTGCTCGCTGGTGAAAGCCTCATCCAGGTGTTTCAGCTCAAAGTCCTTCACGGCCACCTCGGTGTTGCGCACGCGGTCGTACGCGGTCGGTCGGCCGCTTTCGGTTGACACCTGAGGCGACAGATGGGGGGGTCATGGATAATCGAGGAGGGGGTTGCAGTTGGGGTTACGTTGATATGTAGCGCAGCCACTAGAGGGGAGAGTGGGGCGCGTGCGCACACGCATGTGTGTGCGCGTGTGGTGTGTGTATGCGCTTGTGTGTGTATGAAGGAGTGCAGGTGCGCGCGCGCATGCATGTGCATGCACTCTTGCAGTCACAGGCCTGTACGTGGTGGCCGAAGCAGCTTCATGCTGGACTCGTTTTGATCATCAATGTATGATACATTGCCACAGACACGTTTCGAAACGCTCAATCGCTGATGCGATCAATTCATCACACAAACGCAGCCACAACCCACCCTTCCAAAGTCGTAGTATGACAGGCGGTACATGAGAGAGTCTGTGAGGCCCTTCGGGGCACCAGGACCCACGATGTACTCGCCCTGGAGGGTCGCAGCCCGGGGTGGGAGGGTGGGGGATGGGATGAGGTGGGATGAAATGGGATGAGGGCATGAGGTAGGCAGGATCAAGGGGTGGGGGTTTGGGGTGGCCGGGTAGGCCACATGAGTGGAACACCGTGACAGCTAGTGGTGGCTTGGTGGGTTGCAACACCCTGGATGGCTGCAAGCTGGGCCAAACGCCCCGCACGGGCTGCGTCCTTATGCCCCCGCGCCTCGCTGCCCCTGCCACACGCGGTCTGGGCCAGGCTCGCACGTGCCCACTTGAGCATGTGGGATGCCCATCACCTCAAACATGCGCCCCCACCTTCTCTGTTAGGTAGTCTTTCTCCTTTATGTGGTCTGGGTAAACGCCCCCGCCGATGCGCACCTGGTGAATTTCAGGGGATGCCATGCGGATGGTGGCAGCGCAATGTTTTGAGTCCAATGCGCACCTGCCGAGGCCCCACTGAGACCAACGGTTGGGACAGAGCCTTGCGCGGCACCCGCACGCACTGTGGTGGTGCCGATGGCACACGGGGCACGTGGCACCGCCTGCACTGTCCTGAGCAGGTGCGAGCGCTCCTCGGGCTGCCCAGGCCCCGATCCTGGCAGGCAACGCAGGCCCATACAGTGCTAGACACATCCACACAGCAGCGCCCAACCCATCCACACACCATCCACAGGAACTTGTTGATGTCGTCACTGCTGTACCCGCTGACGCCCCCGAAGATGACTAACACGTAGTCGACGTCCAGCTTCCGCATGATCTCGTATGCGTCGTCTCGTTGCTGGACATGGCGCGCCCCACAGTCGCGATGTGGGTGTTGTTCCAGGTGTTGTTGTCAACGATGATCGTGCGGTTGGCCATCTGGGTGATCTGGTAGCCGTAGTCCCACCTTGAGGAGTGATATGAATTAGAGGCGTCAATTTGACAAGTGGATTTGAGAGCTTGTGGATTTGAGGGGTGGGCAGATCGTGGTGTGCGTGTGTGGGTGTGGGTCTGGGAAGGGGAGCGGACGGATGTTTGTGGTGACTGCGGTGGGTGGATGAGGGAGGCCTTATAAATCACAACTGGCCTCCCTCGAAAATGCGCTCTGCCACTGAGCCCCACCAGCTCATGATCTTGGCGTCCGGCTTGGTGTTGTGGCGCAGCCAATAGTACGCCTCCCTGCGGGCCAGGCACAGCGACGGTGCGTATTTACATACAGCAGAGGATTGCGACATCCGCGTGGGCAGTGGGGTGGGTTGGTGTCGGGGAGGTCGATTATCAGGTGGGCGCTCGTAATACAGCAGGAGGTAGGGGGGAGTGCGGCATGAAAACCTGGGGGCAGACCCCCCGGCCGGCGCACGCCCAGCCGCACTCGCGCCGGCCGGCTCGCAAGGAGCGGTGCCGTCGCCGTCAGGTGCGCAAGAAGGCTCGTGGATTCAGACAGCACCGCAGGGAGGCCTGCTGCGCCGCCTGAGTCCGCCCCAAGCCCTCACAAAAGGCTCATGTCAAGCAAGCGCGAAGGTCACAGCTCTCCCACGTCCCCAGTATTCCTTGGTCTTCCCTTGCTGCCCCTCCCCAAGGCGCCCCCACAGAAAACCCCAAATCGGCCCCAGGGCACCACCTGAAGTCGTCCAGGACGTATCTATTCGGCCCTGAGCCCGAGATCAGCACGATGGAGGGGGAGGAGTAGGCCTCACTCGTCACCTGGGGGTTGGAAGCGGGGCGGGGT